GAAGACAGTTTTGTTTTAGGGTTTTAACTATCAAGTATAATAAGTGATTTTAGGTAATAAATGATTTCTCTTGCCAAGCTCTGACAATTTAGTGCAGGAAACACTGATGGATCAACAAGCGAAACACAAAATTGTCGTTTTGTTTCTCATATTTTTGTTTTGGTGGCCTAATATGAGGAGTATTTCACATATGTGTTGCCACATGGAGATCTGAAGAAAAGAAGCTACTGGCCAACTGGCGTACTGTACAAGTTTGTTTTCCTTTTCTCCGTAAAGCCAATGTTTACTTGCAATTGGTGCTCACTCAGTGTTAATTTGGAAACCTGCACAAAACTGAATACTCGGGCACATCTCTAGTGAGTGATAAAATTAATGTGCAATATGTAAATTAATATTCATACATGATACCTGTACAAACCCATCTGTGCAATATGCAAATTCTGTATTTTTAACTTTTGTTTGACATTTCTATTTCTTCATATTCATACTAGCTGTACAGATCCATCTGTCCTGTACATATTAATTTTCTGCTTCACATTTCTGTATATAGCCGATCTCTGCACACATACCACTTGTATTCATATAATCTTGTTTGTATTACCCTGCAAATATATATATATCTTGTAATCCAGCTGTTTTATTTCTTGTGTCATGCTTTCATTGGTTCATTGTCTTGTCATGTGGTCTTCAGGTCTGCTTTCTGTCATTGGTTGTCATAGCCATACATGTGGGACATACCAAGTCTAAGAATTTGACTTGATTTTTAACCAGAATACTTAGATGTTTACACACAGAGACATTACTGTTTAAAGTTTGGGGTCAGTACAATTTTTTAAATGTTTTTGAAAGAAGTCTCTTATGCTCACCAAGGGTACATTTATTTAATAAAAAAATACAGTAAAAACAGCATTACTGTATAGTAATGATTATTAAAATTTAAAATAACTATTTTAATATATAGGGACAGATTATTCAAAAATGAAAAATGTCAGCATCTAATCACACTCTCCAAAAAGTACCAATAGGTACCATGTTACTCATGTGCTCCAGATCGTTTTGAGCCATATGACAGCTTTGTGTGAGGAGTAGATTAAAATGTAAAATGTTATTCACTGACAATCATGGTACTTTTTTTGTCATTTAGAAGCTTGACAGCCACTGGTGGTCATCATCCACTTTTGTATGGAAAACGTCTTTGGAAAAAAAGCAACTTATTTTTTTATTCAATAACTCCTTTTGTATCCCATCATACATGCGACATGAAGATGAGCAGGTGATTACAAAATGTTTTAATGGCTGTAAGTAAAAGTCTCATATAAGGCGTTCTATTCAAATCTGGCACACTATAAAACACTACAAGAGGAAACTCCACATGAGTGGGAGCTCTTCACAAAAATAGCACATTTCTGCAAGGCAGAGATAAAATGGGAGGATAAATGACTTGGGTTTTAGTGCTTGAGAGGCATTTTTTAAGTAAAAAAAATACTTTAGAACATTTAAGAGTATTAAAGTAAGTAAATAAATAAAAAAAATTGTAGATTAATTTGAGCTCAAGAGCCCTAGATGCATGAAATTATACACTACCTTCCAAAAGGCAGTAATATATGGAATTAAAACTTTTATTCAGCAAGGACATGTTAAATTGTCAGCAAAGGCATTTACAATGTTACAAAAGATTTATAGTAAAGGCTTTGCTTTTGAACTTTCCATTCATCAAAAATTCCTGATTTTTCTTTTAGGTTTTTATAAAAATATTAGGCAGCACTAGTCTTTTCAACATTGATAATAACATGTTATTTACTTATTTTTTTTCTTGGGCACTAAATCAGCATATTAAAATGATTTCTGAAGAATAATATGACACTGAAGACTGGAGTAATCGCTGCTGAAAATTCAGTTTTTCCATTACAGGAATAAATTGCATTTTAAAAAACAGAAAACAGTTATTTTAAGTTGCACGTTTTAATGAAATAATACAGAAAAATGAACTAGAAATGAAATGACAGAGTGCATTTATTTTGAAAACATAGCTCTGACATGAACATGCAAACAACAAACAACTAAAAATAAAACCTAAATATGGATTAGAAAAATATGATATCCTCACTATTTCATTGCAGACCATATCCGAGGTAAACAACCTAATTATAACCACATCTCCATTCTAAGCAAGCACATGTCCTTGGGCAATAACTCTCTCTCACGCTGATGCTCATTTTGGTCGAAAGGGCCCTGTGTTTGCAATAATAATCAGTATTCATGCACCATACATGCTTGGCATATGTTCTCCCATATGCTTGGAATCCACTGCAAGGATTCGGTATGCAGCATTGTAACAGTTCACAAGAAAAAAAAAACTGACAACACTATACCATCAAGTTTGCCAGATTAGTTAACATTGGAGATAAAAAGTGAAAGTTTCATTAGCGATGCTGAAAGTACAAAAAAGGCGAGTATCTTGATCTGATGACAGTGGTAATTGCTTTGTTTTGTAGACACCAAAATAAAAAAATCAGGCATGTGAGTCTCAGAGGAAGAAAAAAAGCAATGTCAAACTAATGACATCCAACTAATAACCTCGTTTGTTGATATGGTGAATGAGACACAGTTGGGCAGGATATCAGAGCTATAGTTATGCTCTTAAACATGATTAAGCCCTGTAACTAAGCTCATTTGGAGGTTTGAAGAATGGGATCAAGAGAAGACAATTGAATGTGGACGAAGTGTCAAATTGAGACCCTCAAAAAGCTCCCTAAGAAAATAATAATTTGAAAATATTTCACTTTGCATATTTCCTTGAATAATTTATCTTTTGTAAAAGTCTAAAAGTACTAAATCTATCAACCAGGAATAAGGTTATGATTATATACTGTCAGTGATGGACAGTACTGATTACATGTAAGTAATCAGGATTACATAATCATATTCCAAAAATTAAGTACTTGTAATTAAATCATATTACATTTTAAAATGCTCCTAATGAGATTACAGTTACTTTTTTATGGATTACATGATTCCATATTATTCACACAATTGCAGTAAATTATTTGTAATTGTACAGTATTGATTGTATGATTTTTTTTTCTCTTTTGAATTTTTCTTTCTAAAAATCCTACTGGGTCTCATACCACTTAGTTTTGACTATATTCACAATATAGAATGACCATGTAAATGTCATGCAAATTAATTTGGGACAAAAGCACCTCTCAGTCAATTAGACCATGTATGAGAGTACTAAACACAGCTGATATACAGCTGTGAAATGTCTTCATATCCAGTGATCCTCACTATTTACTGATCTGGACAAAAGTTTTTTTTTTTTTAACTTTAAACATGTAATGTCATTGCTGTTTTCATGTTCGTTTGTATAATGCAGGGATTCCTGATTTTTTTTAAATCCGCAAATCCCCTTTGACCTAAAATATTTACTTGAAGACCCCTGAGATTTTAAATGATTTAACAACACATTCACATCAGTTCTCTGATGTTGGTTAATGTCACATTGACATGCAGGTAAAAAATAAATAAATCTATTTTTAGTGTTCAAACGTTTTGTTTTGATTGTCAAATATATTTTTTAAACTATAATTTGATTAATTATAGTTTTTCATCAACTCAAAGCCCCCCTGCAGTTCTTTCATTTTGGGAAACCCTGGAGTAATGTAATTTTCATTTTATATATATATATATATATATATATTGAGAGCTCAGGCCACAACACTGAAGTTATGATTTAAGTTTCTCTTGATGTTTTGTCACATGGATTGTACTAAAGTTGTTCTTTAAAATGCAACCTTAAATGATTGGATTTTTTGTTTCTGTGTATACAGTGTACTGTATACAGTGCTGGGTAGATTAGGCCTACTTGAAAATTGTAGTCCATTACTGATTACAAATTGCATGATAAAAATTGTAGTTAGTAACGTAATCTAATAATTACTCATTTTAGGTAATTAATTCTGAGTACTTTTAAATAATTGTGTACCATATTGATATAAAATAAAAAAGAGTGAGAAAATAAAGTATATTCCATTCTTTATCAACAACATGAAATATATATTTATTTATTTATTTTTTTTTAATTAATTTATTTTTTTAAATGAAACACTGAATAAATCTTGTATGAATCCCAATAGCTCAAATGCTTCATAAATCTCACTTTGTGTGGAAGCTGTCTGAACTATTTGTCAGAAGGAGTACCAATAAGAGACAGGTTGGTTTTCAGTGGAATCAAAAGCATGTCTGAATGTAGCTGCTATTTCAGCCAACATGCAGTGAAACACAAAAGTACTGGCAGTGTGTTTGGAGAAAAGCGCACACTGCGTGTGAACTAGGGATTGATTTTCACAGTCAATTATAGCCATTTTTAGCACAGTTGTAAATGTGTAAAGAAAGGCCAAAATGTTTCGAAATCACACAAAAGAACTATGAGTAGGTATCGACAAGCATCTGTTCTGTAAAAATCTAACATCTCCTCCTGTTTCCATTCTAGCTAATATGAAATATCTCACACATACAAAGTAAAGAATGGATTTAATAGCTATATGTTTAAATTTTATTCATAGGGGAGACTGGGGCTAATAGTCAAAACTCCATTTTTGTATTTAAGTCTTGACTACAAAAAGCTATTAAATCTAAATTAAATTCCACCATTATTGTCCAGGATAAAAGATATATATATATATATATATTTTTTTTTTTTTTTGTGACAACATGCAACTATAGCATAGGCAGTACCTTGTCACAATAGAACCTGCCATTATTAAGCCTAACATAGCTTTTTAAAGCTCAATTCAATCAATAAAACAATTATGAGAAACAAAATGGTCGATAAATATTGTAATTAAAAAATTACAACATACAAAAGTCATGTGACACCTGACATTTACAAGAAAATACCCTTGTCTCTACAACCAATTCAATTCCCTGCGTGACAACTAGCCTCGGTCTCCCCTTATACATGCTCATATACATTTCTATACATCATTCCGTTTGCATACCGTATGTATTGCTTCTTTCTGAATACCCATAATCCAACCCTCCTGTGAAGAGATGTCAAAACATAATTAGCATGTATTAATTCATTTATATTCTTTGTCAAATAAGCAGTGCACCTGTTGCGAGGAATTTAAACTATCCTCTCTCGGCCAAGTCGCTCAACTAGGACAGCACAAAATTAACTAGAAATACAATTTGGAACTTGGGACAAAACAAGAACAGTGGGATGTCGAGACAGTTTATCTCAGCGATTGATACTGCCGCTACTGCAGTGGACCATGAAATTGTCATTTGTTCTGCAAGCGTTGCATCAAATGAAAGTTAAGGGCTACACACTAGCAAAAGGTCTAAACTCTGGCAGTGAGAGGACCCCATGGCTAATTATATCCATTCCATACAAATGGTATACCTATTAATACAGTGGCATATCTGTAAACTGGAGTATGAAAATGCAATAAGATCTGTAACGCTGAATGATACTCATTGTGGTTACTAAGAACAGTCATGCAATACAACACATCACACACACATTGTTAGTGTGTGCATTGTGTCCGTATATGTCAGAGTTGATGTGCTAAAGAGAAAGCATTAGGGGAAATAATGTATCCCATTTGAGGGATTACATTTTCACACTGGCTTTTAAAAGTCATGTTTTAAAAGAATAGTTCAACCAAAAATAAATAAATAAATAATAAACACAAAAGTAGAAATTTTGAAGAATCTACTGGTCAATCTGGACACAAAATGATTTTTAATTCAGCCAGTTTTTGTGAACTGGATCATCTGATTCATTTACTTTGGACTTTTCCACATACAAAGCTATTGTTGGCTTCAGAAGACTTGCAATTTAGCACACAAGTCTTAGTGGTCGAAAGATATGGATTTTTTGATGGTAATATCTTAAAGAGCAGGGTGGCCAATGACATCATACCATTTAACTTAATTAACTAAAGTAACGCGAGCACAACAATTACGATTATATTTACTGTATTTGGCATACTTTTGACTAAAATAATTGGAAATAAAATATTTGAAAATGTATCAGTTTGAAAAAAAAAAACATTTGAATTTTAAACTGTATTGTGGCATTTTCAAAAATAAAGAAATTGTTTAAAACGTGAACAAGAAGAAAACACTGTAACCAACAGCGCACTCTGTAACCTGGCATTCCAGTAACAGTTTTCAATAATGTTAAGCCAATAATTATTTTCATGTTTGGCTCCAATAACTGTTAAAATAGATATTAAAATATGAAACATTAAAATTCTACGCTATTTTGCCTAAATAAACTAAAAATAAAACACTAAACAATTAAAATCAGTTGTTTTAAATGCTACAAGTGAATTACAGCATTATAATGCATCACAACATTATAATATGCAGTAAATGGATATTCATTGGATATTCATAAAAACATGGATATTCATTTTGAGATTTTTGTTAGAGAGTCGATTTAACAGTGTCATTAAATGATTAGTGTTTTTGAAAGATAACTAAGTGAACATTAGATGATGGCAAAAGTAATCTAAATGTAAAAATAGAAGAAAAGAGCATGCACAATTAAATATCTGATACCAGGCAATATATATCCAACAGCGACCAGTGCAATTCCATAAAATTTTTCTTTTTGTGTTACAAGAACGAAAAAAGTCATATGTGTTTGAAACAACATGAAGGTGAGTAAATAATGGCAGAATTTAAATTTTTGGGTGAACTATCCCTTTATTACACACAGGCCCACACACACACACACACACACACACACACACACACACACACACACACACACACAATACACACACACACACACACACACAAATACTCCACGCTCCCCCAGCAAGAGAATATCATGGTCTGTGATTTCAGTAAGGTGCACAACAGTGAGAACACAGCGACGCCATAGATCGTGAGAGACGTTCAGAGGCGGCGGAATCAGTTGCTGCTCAGGAGGAGAGAAAATGGCAGACAACAAATAAAAGAGAGAAGTTGAGGAGGCGTATTATCAATATCCCGCCCTTCATGCAGCCCGCACTAAAGCAGAGAATGAGGAAGCCAGAGAGAAGCAGTCAGCATTTAGGAAAGCCACTCGCCCCAGCGCCACACATGACAGTGCCCACTATAACGCCACAGTGCTCGCTCAGAGGGGTGTCAGTGCTGTACTGTGCAATGCCACAAGTTAAAGGAAAAAACACAAAGAAACACAAAGAAATAAAGTAAAAATATTAGGGCTGTCAATTGAACTCCGTTTTTAATTGAAAGTGATCAATTATAAAAAAAAGAAACAAAAGTAATGCCCTAACACATTTTTTAAAGTTGATCTCCTTTTTTTACTGATGTCTAATTTGTTAACAAATTATTCTTTTGATTTGGATCTTTAAATGATTCAACTGATTCGTTTAAGAACCAGACTGAATCAGTCTAGATGGTTCTTGAGACTACAACTCAATGACTCACTCAACCGAGAACAATCTCTTTTGGAAATGTCAGACTCAGAACAAAAAGAGTTTTTTTTTTAATGAAAAGCGTATTAAAATATGCGAAAACATTTTATCTAAATAAGTAAACAATGTATTTAGTATTGCAAATGCAAATTTACATATTATAGGTTCTAAATGTCGATTTTAGGAGCTGAATCATGGCTACAACTACTTTCTCAGCAAACACTGATAAGCGATGAATTAACTGAAGTATAATGTATTTTATTTGATTTAAAAATAACTGATTGACAGCCCTAGAAAAAAAAAATAAATAAAAAAAAATAATGTGACGACACACAAAGCTGAATGCCAGCAGGCATCCTGGCCAATCGAGAGAAGGAGAAATTGCAATGAAGAAGAGGTCATTTTTGGTTAGTGCAGCATTTCGGATCCCTTACTGAGCTGCGTACAGCATGTGACATATATACTGACCTGGACTTGAGACAGCACTAGTTGTTGTGGGTTCAATAATTGCTACAGGAAAAGAAGGGGAGAGGGAAAAGAGGACATTTATATATTATTAACATAATGAAGACCCAAAATAAGGGAAAACAGAACAAAAACATCTAAAGACTGGAAAAAGGGTGTGAACATTTTTGCTTCTGTGGTCAGCAGGCAATAAAAGAGCCCTTTACACCACAAAATAAAACAATTCCTGCTGAGCTTGATCATCTTGATCAAAATGCAATGTTCAATCATGTTTTGTTCGGTTTTTATGTTCAGAGGGTTTTCATCGGAGTCGGTTTCAAATCATATTATGATCGCTGATCTTTGATACTCCAAATTAGAAGCTTCTGAGCATCACTCAATGCAACGGACCGTAATGAAGCTCAGCTCAATTAACACATGAAATTAAATTTGCACCTAGCAGACAGTCATTTAATCATGACGATGTAATATAGTTTTCATATTATTAATAGATATCATACTCTCTCAATTGCCCGAGCTCCCTTTTTGGGAAATGTTAAAAGCAGGACTTTAATGTCAATCCATTTTTAATCTCATATAGGCTCAATATTTTCCAGTGAGTTACTTAACTGATGGTAATTAAAACTTAACTGGAGGGATACGTCTAGATCTGGGGGAGATATACAGAAACATTAATGTCTTCACATTTCCATCTGCTGATACATGTACATAAAAGAGTAAAATATAAAAAAAATGGAAAATGAATCCGTCCACGATAGCCAAAGCAAAACTATTTGGACACTTAAAAAGGTCAAGCTGTCATTGCATTAGATACAAAATATTAAACCAAGTAGCATCTGCAAACAAAAGTGGCTAACTTCATTTGTCCTAGCCATTACTGTGAACCACCTGGCCTCAAGGTCATTTTTAGTAGATGTATGAAATCATTTCCCTGTGAGTTCATACAAGTGCCCTTGTAGAGTAAATAAAATACTTCTAAATCTCAAATAATACTAAATTCTATTGTTAAAATATGCTATATACTCCACTTTCTTTCAACAATGCACAACATGCAGCTTTAAAATTCCTATTCTTTGTATTGAACCAAGAGGTCAGTAAATCTGTTCAGATGCTCTACTGGTCAAACATCTTTCCGTAATGCAAACTTGCAGATCAGAGTTCACCCAACTTGGACTTTGGCACACACTGAAAGGTGAAACTCTCTGCATGTGTCCATGTTTCCAGTCTCCCACGTTCACATGACTTTGAATGGAAGTGAATGAACACACTCTAGCATGACTGCACCTTAATGGGACAGTTCACTCAAAAATGAAAATTCTGTCATCATTTAATCACCCTCATGTTGTTCCAACCTGTATGACTTTCTTTCTTCTTTACAATACAAAAGAAGATATGTTGAATAATGTTGGTAACTGTAGCGTCTGGACCAATCAGACACACATTTTTTTTTGTTATATTTAACAAATACTCTGTAACACCCCTCAGTTAACAAGCCATATGAGG